CCCTAATCCATGGTATGAATAGTTCTCTTGAAGAAATAAGGATAAGATGAATAGTGTCCTTGAAAATAGAATTAATGAATGCAATGAACCTATTGAATCATTTGTCTGCTAAATTGAAAGTGACAACTAGGATTAGAGCCTACGAAAGAAAGCAAAACATAAGGAAAAGAACAGACAACAGATGTACTTACTCGAAGAGTAAGACCAGCAATGTTATTCGACAGAGTGTTGTCGTCTATCGTCTCCAGGGTCGTACCCTCAATTTCAGACTGAGGGAGGTTACTATTTCCTTGGTGTTCACAAGAAGATTACGATCCATTGGGATCGCAATAGTCCTGGAGCCTCCTCCCAACCTCACTTCGAGTTGAGTAAGCCTCTCATCGATCATTCTCAACTCATCCACATCCATGTCGGAGTCAGATCCGACGTCCCCTCAGCAACGACCTTCCCTCTGTCATCATCCGCAAAAGAGAAGTCCACCATGAACCTAGAAGACGAGGCCTCTTCTTGCCTCAGAAGTGCAAAACCGTCATTATGCACCCCGCCCTCGGCCGTGTCCCCCACAGGACGCGTGTTCGTCTCCTCTAAGTGCGGGGCCTCGGGACCTGCCTCGGTTCTTTCTTTGATGTGCACTATGGCCGTATCTCGAAGAAAAAAGCCACAATCTGCCAAAGCTACGGCTACCGGCCTCTCTCCCCCTGCATCCATGGATCTCCTCTTGCGAGGAATTTACTACCGGTATCAGGAGAGACGTCATCCTCATCGACTAGTGAAAAGAGTTGAGGAGCAGAATCAGCAGATGGAACATAAACATGCTCTCGAGCTGCGATGGCTACAGATGAGACAGGTACGAAAGACGTAAGAGTCATGACAAGGGTAGAATCTGAAGCCGCAACAGCCTTCCTTCAGAAAGAGGGTATCGGTGCCCGACTCCTCCGAGAAGATCCCCTGCCTGAGAAGAAGATATAAAGTTAGCAAAACAAATCCTCACACAATGGGAAGTGGAACGGCCACGCTCAAAGAAAAGAAATTACCTGTCAAAGAAAGAGGAGGTTTGAATCTCTTGAAAAAACTCGGACAATCGCGGATTCCTACGATATGGGGGAGGAGACGCTCGACCCAGCCGGAGATGTTAGAGACAAAAGGAGGAGGCTGGCTACTGGCTGCAAAAGCGGAAAGTGAGAAATTAGAATTCGGGACCGAACAAACAAAGAGAAGAAACAAGGTACTTACGAGCGCAGTTCCAAGACTCAGGAAAGCCGTTGACATTGGCCACAACGTCCTCGGTTCTGACAAAAAAAATATTAAACCAGAAGTGATGACTGACCTTGTCGTCCATTTTCACTAGCAAGCATTTGCCTCCTCGGTGGAGAAGGTTCATTATATCCCTTGGATAAGGTAGCCCCAGCAAATCACTCGAAAAACTTGAAGAATTTGAATTATGCGGCTCGTAGAGGGCCACGTCGCCCATTTGTAACAACAACCACGACCCGTATAGTCCGTTTGATAAGCTTGACCACCAATAACAAAATCCACATATCGAACTCGTCCGCGAGGTCGACCTCAGTAAGCAAAGAGACTGACTGTATGTGTCAAAATCTATCTCTGAAATACTTAAGTCATGATAGCATTAGCGAGGCGCTCACAGGCCGCCATGTGTCGAAGTGGTTCAAGGAACAATGAAGGTAGCGGTCGAGGAGTTATCAAAGAACGAGGTTGAGGTCGAACACCTTTCACAGAATTATAACGACTAGTTTCAAAATAGGACATTAAAAGAGAATATTCTAGTTGATATTCTCTGCACTTGTACTATTAGGGTTCTTAGGAACATATTCCCTATAAATAGAAAGAGACACAATGATAGAAAGGGGATATTCATTTTGTAAAGAACACATTGACTTTGTAGAGAGGATCTGGTCTTACGACATATATACTAAAATAATATTTTTACCAAGATTCTGGTCTAACATTTTCCACTGTATCCAAGAACAACACAAGTGTTCAAAGGCTCATCAATCATTTATCATTGTCAGAAAGAATAACCACTGATATCGCCCCTTTTCGGGTGACTCACATGTTTTATTTACCTAAATGCTATTTGTTGCTATTTATTACTGTTTAATGTCATATTCTATCTTTTTGGGTCATTGAATATCGTTATTATTGCTCATATTCATTATTATCTAGATTGAATATACTAGCTATTTTGTTTTGACACCGGTAGCTTTATCTTTTGGACATTATTTTTAACTAAAATTAACTCTTTACATAAATCTAATTGGTTAAGCCAAAATCTATATGTTTGATAAAACAACCACCAAGGCCATGCCTACAACTTGCATATAGTCTTTCCAAGTTCATAGTTAATTGTAGCTGGCACGCAGAGTTCGGAATAAAAGATGAAATGTTATTGAAGGAAATTAACTCCAGTGATGCATTGTGCACAGTGTTGAAACTCTACTTTGATCCTTGTTGCGTTACAGTTATGGTCAGTAAATTCAGAATCCCATGTAGATAAGAGAGTTAACCATAGTCAGTCCCTAAAACATAAAATGATAACATTCCTACAGAAGGTTTTAAACCAAAAAAAAAAAAGCAACCATGAGAGATTTATGTGGCCTAATCATCAGCGTTTCGTACAACACCGACCATGTAGAAGGAGATCGAATGCCAGAAGAGGAGAGTCCGGAATCAAAATGTGATTCTTTTGAACTCAAAAAATTAAAATGTGTAAAAAAAAATAACTGGTGATAATTTTATATATAATGCCCTTTTAAAGGGCGCTATATCTTAACGGTTGTTTGCCCAGTTAAATATAGCGCCCTTTTGAAAGACGCTTTATATATAAAGCCCTTCCTTACCGCGCTATATATAATACGTGGGTCCGCCAATAATTCTTCTGCGCTTAACTGACAAAACAAAATTCAACTGGGTATAGCGCCCATATTTAAAGCGTTATACCTCAAATAATTGTACCCCCGGATTGATTTTTGCCTTATTTAAAGAGGTTAAGGATTTTGTAAAAATCCATTCATAAATATTCTCAAGTCTTCTGAAATATTTCTTCGTTAAGTTATTTTGCATTTTGTCATAATGTCTGAAGAGCGAAGAATTAGGGTTTTATTATATTGGGGGGAGGGGGGAGGGTTAGGTTGTGGTAGCGAATAACTCAATAAGTTATAGTTTATCTCCACAATGTCATGTTAAGTTGCCACTTACGACGGAGTACGATACATTGGTATCGTTGTTATGTAAAAAAAATGAGTGTGAGCAAACGTTCGGTGAATATTAAAGTAACCGGAAGATATCCGTATTCTGTCACTCCGCAAGTCGTTACTTGTTATGCTGAGTTTAACATCGAAGACGATAAAACTCTGAGAGATTTTTTGAGGACTCCGGATGAATACCGAGAATTTCTTGTGATAAAAATATTGGAAATGTATGTCAAGGCTGAAGACGTTCGCAATAATGAGGTTGCGCAAAGTAGGGATATCCCTCAGTCATCGAGCAGTTATTTTGGAGCAGTTTTAGCCGAATAGGTTCCGGCTGAAAGAGTTTGACCTGATCTAAACTTATCTCCACAAGCTCATGCCAGCGACATAGTACTTCGCAATCACACCGTTTTTGAATAAAGGAGAACCCATTGTAGTTTTTTGCCCCAAATTCACATACCTTCAGGCTTTGTAGAATGCGTTTCGCCCTCAATAATGTGCCCTATAACTTTGAGATCGGTGTGTATATTGATAGGCTTATTTTCCAAGATACGCAGAATACCATACCACTTGTTATCAACCAAGTCAGTGTAGCAACCTAGCATATTTATTTCAAGGTATGGATAGATAGTGTTAAGACGTGTTCCATGTTGATCTGTTGAACTACCTTCACCCTTTTGCCTATTTTTGAACCACTTGTTAAATGTTAATGGCATTTTTTAAATGGATGTTGTAATATTTATTCAAAAGGTCTTTGAAATACAGGTGACTTGGTTCAGTTTAAGCAGCTGCCTTATACCCGAAAGAATCATTATCACGCGAAGCATAGCGCGGTAAAATATCACGTTATGTATGTGTGTTGTCTTGTCGACCTGAAAAAACTGTTGTTCTGCAAAAGCTATCTCTGGAAAAGTTATATTGTACCCTAAAGAATCATTATCACGCGAAACATAGCGCGGTGAAATACCACGTTATGTGTTTTATTTTGTCGACCTAAAAAAGCTGATGTTTAGCCAAAGCTATCTTCTGGAAAAGTTGTATTGTACCCTCAAGAATCATTATTACGCGAAACATAGCGCGGTGAAATACCGCGTTATGTATTTTATCATGCCTATAAATAATTAACGCATTTTACCTAGTATCTGCGCTTAACCAAAACAAATAGAAAAAATTTTCATAAAATTTTCATTTTTCTTGCATTAAGAAATATCTGGACGCAATGACGTACCAAGTTGTTATTGTGGCAAACGTGCGATTTTGAAGCCATGTTGGTCAAATAGTAATGTTGGGCGCAGACGCTGGATATGTCAACAAGTTGTAAGTTATTGTTTTGGCAAAAATATTTGTTAATATTTTTTATATAAAATGTTAACTAATAGTTTTATGTTATAATCCACATTGGTAGGACGGAAATCAATGTAGATTTGAAGAATAGTATGATGAACTCATTAACCAAGAATACTACAAATCATGTTTGCAGTATGCTTGGAATATGACCGGTGAATACGAACTCCAGATCTTTAAACTACAACGATAAATTGCGGCAGTGCAGGAGAAACTAAAAGAGGCGAAAGAAGAAAAAAATAGGTTGCAAGAGATATTTAAGTGGTTGAAGTAGAGAATAATGGGCGATAGTGACTAAACAAACACATGTACGTGTTGAGTGTAGTATTTTATCTTTATGTTTTCTGTATCATATATTTTCATTAGTTTGCTATGTTTGTGTTTGTGTTGTAGTATTAATATAACGAAGAACCCGAAAAATAAAAACATAATGCGCATATAATGTAACCATAAATAATGTTGCTATTATTTTACTGAATGTCATATGTACCAAAAATCAAAAAAGTCAATGTGTCCCATATCCAATATGCTTTAAAGCAGCCGTTGGCCTAAGGCGCATCCCATCCCGCCCGGCTACGCTATCAGGATCATCCTCATCACGTCGCATCTTTATCGGAGGATGTGTTGCAACATGATCGTCAGTAAGACTAGTAAGCTCGGTATAAGGGGTCGTCGGTCCAATAGTAACCTACAGAATAATAAGATATTTTAGTATAAAAAATATATATATTAGTAATGTACGTATTAAGTCACAAAAATTTAAATTGTCTTACCAAGGTCTTGACGGGCTCCTGAATATAATCATCCGTCTTAGCCATGTCAGTATCGCACAAAGTAGCCTCCGTGACAGGCGAGGATGATGCCTTCAAAAAACTGCTGTAAATATTTATGACTAATCAATGAGATAAAAACAAATATAAATAATAGTAATACAAAAAAACTTGCGCCTGTAAAAGATCCTCAGCATCCCTCGATGATAAGCCATAACTCAGTTGGCGCCCACTATCCACATCTCGTATCGGACTATTATCAGCAACCGCTGATGGCTCTGGAGGACCAGAAAAATACTGATCCTACTCTTGTCGCGTAATGGTCATGCCCGCGATCAATAATGGAGTTAATGGAGTCACCTGCGAAGTCCCTGAAGTAAGCTGAAGGCTGAATGACACTAGGAGCATGGTCTGGCTCATGGTGGTCACCCGTCTGATCAACTCAAACATCCTCAACATGTGCCTCATGCCCCCTTGTTGGGGACCATCTTATCGCCGATCCCCACGACCTCGTGGGACACCCCTACCTCTCTGGGCACGCTTGCCACATCGACCATGTTTCAGCTCCGCTGCTAGTCCACGATGGTACTGCTCTGGCGCCACATAATCAGCCTCGTATCCTAAGCGTTCATTATCTCGGGCTCGCCTCAATGTACGAGAAGCCAGATCTGTAACCTGTCGGCCATACTTGTACAAAGCGGCCGCTCCCTCGATGGTATGCTGCTGCATCTGCAGTCCTAACTAGTAGAAATGATGTAGGCCAATAGCCTGCATAACATGTAAAATATTAATTACGGAACGCTAGGTTAATGTTATAAGTATACCAAATAACATATCAGTGCCTCGTGCCTCCCGGCGTATGGAACGTACCGACCGCCAACGCGATGAACGGGATTCCCGATGAAAAGTCAGGTAAAGCTGCGGTACCAGCCCATATACTCATGCTCACCATCCGTCCGGTCAGGTGTAGGGGGCGGAATCAGGTCATGCCGCTGGTCCTAAATATCGATCTGTGCCTCTAGCCATGCCACATATATCTAGTCAACCCTGGAACGATCATCCCGTTGGTAATATGTCCTATGCCAAGCGGGCGGTGGAGGTACAAGTTGCGGTCGACCAAACTGGCGAAGGACTCGCTCGGTGGCATGATGCTCGACAATATCGAGACATGTCAACGGGATGGAAGAGCTCCACATAATTCGGCCGGTCGAGCAATAATCGGGCAAACAAGCTATTAGCTCATCATTATATGGCCTCCAAATGAACTATTAAGTAAAAACAAGAACCGTGAGTATACGCAACACATATAAAGTCAGGCCAAGTAAACTTAAGTATACATTTACCTGCGCGCCCTCCAGCAAATCCAACAAATCCCTGCAATAGGGGAGATGATGTCGAGCCTCGTACTCGCTTCCATATCCTCGCCTATCAACCCACCTCCTAGCTAAAGGGATAAACGGAAGGTGGTGCAACTGGAGCGAAGGGTGGTAGAGGTGGCTGCAACTGCAGGAACCGCTCCCAGGCCCAAACCTCATATATAATGTGGACGTAAAATTTAAGGTATATTTTTACTATGTATGTTATAATGAAGAGAGTATTTGACTATGTTTTCACCTGCAGCAGCGGCAAAAATTCGGCAACGTCTCGTTGGTTGCCGATGCTCGCCCGACACATCTGTATGTACAAGTAACCAAGAACAGCAGCACCCCAGTTGTAATCATGTAAATCATCTAGCCGCTCAAGATGATGAAGAAATCTTAAGCTGACTAGGTTTTTCGAAGTGTTCGGGAACAATACCCCTCCAAACAAGCAACAACAGCAACCTCGTGAACCGGTTAATATGAAAATCTGGTGTATCATCCGTAATGTCAGCATGCATCGCCTCCAGATGCAGCCGGACGGGCATCAACTGCAGACGACTAGCCCCAACTAATGCAGCCTCATCCATTGGCTGGAAACCGGTGGGCCGCTGCAACATCTCCAGCTACTGCAAACTCGTATGCTCTCTGATGGCATGCGGTAAAGCAACAGGATGTCCATCAACCGGCAGCTCATATAGAACCTCCACATCCTGAAGCGTGATAGTGGTCTCGCCAATGGGTAAATGGAATATGTGCATCTCCGGTCGCCACCGTTCTATCAAAGCCGTGATCAACGACCAATACAGCTACAACCGGCCGATCTCAACAATCCTATAGAAACCCGTATCCTGAAGGCGTCTAACTATATGGGGATAAGGGTGGCATGTGGGCCGGTTAGGACCGGGCCCGGCCCAGGACCGCAATCCCAAATGGGCAGTAGGCCTAAACGGTTCTAACCGGATAGGACCGGAACCGTGGGGAGGTGGGCTAGGTAATGGGCCGGTCCCATAGGCGAGGCCCGCGAGACCGGGATCGGTTGAGACCGGGACCGGCTAGGAAGTTGGACGGTTCAAGCGGTCCTAAATGGGCCTATCCGGGCCCAAGGGCTAATTTTTAAAAACAAATTGAATATGCCGCATTATAGCCTTTATGACATTTAAAATATGGCCGTTTTACCTGCCAAAATAGTCGTTAGCTATTTATAAATAGGCATTTACCTCCCCCCCCCCCC